TCTTATAATTACACAGCTATTTACCTATTTTTATATTCCTTGAATTTATCTTGGTATGCCTACTGATCTGAAAACAACCTTTTCTTCCCACTTCATCTTTTCTACAGCAGCGACTTCTCCGAAGTCAAGGCAGTTTGCTTCAGTTCCTTCCAGTGTGAGACTTCCCCAGGAGCTGGACCACTCTGTAAAGCATGGGGCTAGTTCCTCATCCTGCCTTAGTGTTCTGCTGCTTTGAAACACAGCAGAAATTTTGTTGTCTCCCTGCTTAGAAGGTACTCGGCTTTCTACACGTCACGCAGACAGTTGCATGCTTTTAATGTGGTGTTAAAGATGTCAGATTCTCTTCCTAAAGCCCGAAGAACCACTAGTATATTCTTTCTAAATCCTCTAAGAAATTACACCTTAATTGTGTTTATATCACTGTTTTCACTTGAGACCACATCTAACTGAAATTGATTGCTTGTTTTTCTTTTTTTCTTTTTGTGAGTAATCTTGGGAGGGAACATCATGGTCTTTGCCAGACACCAATACTCGCTGTCTCTCTCTGTTTCCTCTGCTTAAGAAGTATGTGCCTGTAAAAAATATGGAAGATGTTTTTTTGAGGTTGTAACGAGAAGAAATGTACAATTAATTCTTACATTTCCAATATACCCCTACTTTGGAATTGGAAATATGACTCTCCTTCCATTCCTTTGGAATATTTTCAAAATTAGGTTGCAGAATTTTTGACTCTGCTTATTGCTTCCTGGTCTTAATAATTTAGCAGGAATTGCCAGCATTATTCCTGAATGTCTAATTGCCTTTTGAATACTGTAAAAATTTGATTCTTCTGAGAATGACTCATTCATCTAGAAAATGGCCTTTGCTGTTCACTTTTATCTTTCTCACCATTAAAGATATCATTAGAGTACCTCCTCCACCTTTCTGTGATTGCATTGTTTGCAAATAAAGATTTTCATTTTTATCTTTTCCTGAACCTTCATGATTCACGTTCATGCCTCCCAGTACTGTAATACATGCAAAATATTCTTATTAGTACATCTTCTGTCTGCCATCTTCTACTTCAATTTCTGCAGTATTGTCTTTTGTATCATCTTGTCAAGGCTCTTGTCTCTTTTGACTTTCTTATAATCTTTAACATAAGATTAATTTTGAATTCTTTCATGACATTAATAAAGGAAGGAAAGACACACACCTTTATGAAAGCATCCACTGTTCTACATTTCACGATCTTCTAATGTTTTTGATACTCTCTGAAGTGTAACTGAAGGTCTTCTGCTCAATGTTAGTCTTCCATATGGTCACTTTTTTATCTTCTAATACCTCAGACCTCAAACCCTCAAAGATTGTGTCACTTTTAATATTTTGGCCTGCTTTTTTAATGTGACAAATATCTTAGAATTGCTGTCAGAAAAGAACAGCTCTCACTACAATACAATTCTTTTAGGTTCCTGTTGATATTCCTTTGTCTCAAATAAACATATAGTTGTTAAGCTAATTAACAACATTTTTGCAGACCTACGCAAACTTTTGAAGAAAGCCACATCTGTCAGTCTCACAAAACTAATCCCATTCCACTGCCTGCTATAACTAAGGCTGTCTTTTTATAGTTGGTTCCCTACATCTTGCTTGTGCCTTAGTGTTTCATTTACTCAGGGAGTGGTGAGAGACTGAAGGACATAAAATATGTCATATGTTCCTTCAAGTTCCTCTGATAGTGCATCTTATATTTCATTATGCATTCTTTCAATATGAGTAAATATCCTGGTAATATCAATACCGTTGTGCTCCCTGACTGATTGAAGTTACTGACTGCAGATAATGTAACGTCATTCAACATAATATGATATTTACTTCAAACCGTGTAGTCTTTTTTTTTTTCTTTTTTTTTCTTTTTTCTTTTTTTTTTTCTGCAAAAGCATCTACTAGCCTAAAAAAATCCCCCAATCCACCTTCTGCTCTCTCATATGGCTGTGATGTGCTCCCCTACCTTCTCTGCAGTACTTGGGATAATTCTTGACCTCAAAGCATCAAATGTTTCCATATTCTAGTTTTTCTCATTTTTTTTTCTTCACTCAGATGAGATGATTTCTCCTTCTTATCTTTCTGTGTGTTTCCAAGTCTTGTGACTTACAATTTCTTAATTCTACATTTTATGGGATAAGGGTGCCAACTTTATGTCAACTCCATCTGGAAGACTTGTAGGTTGTTCCTCGAACTCTTTGCAGCTTATCTCTAAACTCTCTGGCTTTGGGAGAAAGTGCTGACTGCACAGCTAATCACAGTGCGTGTAGCATCCCCAGACAGACAGGAAGTCCTTTCACCATATTAAAATTCCTAAGAAAGAAGTTGTTGCTTGTCACCAACTGTAACAGTTGTTCAGCTTGTTTGTGATTCGATTAAATGGCACTTCAGTTTGCCAACACAAATGACAATGAAGAAGGAGTTAATGGCTACAGTACTGTTGGCTAGAGCTTGGCCAGAAAGTTCTGCTAAGGTAGGCCTGATTTGAGATAGGGAGCACAGTCTCTAATACCTTAATCACTTTGTGATACCTAAAAGGCTTGGGGGCATCATCCCCATTCAAAGATGTATTTTGAAATTTCAAATACATTCATGATTAGTTTTAACAATCATATAGGATATGGGAGGTCAGTAAGTGAAGCTTTTTTTGTTAAATGCAAAACTCCCTGTTTGTAAGTCTAAAGAGAGGTTATATAGACATGATATTGTCAACCCTGGTTTTGTCCGGAATTATTATTTTCCTTCCAGGGTGCAAAAATATCTGTATTAAAGTGGTGACAAAGAGAAAAAGGAGTGGGAATCACAGTGCCATGAAAACCATACATCGTGGTTAAGTAAGTCAAAATCGCTAAACCATAAAGATTCAGCTTTTGGGGTAAACAATAGATAAATTGTATTAGTTTTTGCAATAGCACCTCAGCAATTATGAGTCACTATGCTGACAACCAAGAGTAGAGAGTGAATATAAAACACAAGTGAGTACTTTGAGTGAGTACTTGAGTTCCTGTAAAAACATCCACTGAATGCATTTGCTTCATCAAAGCCCAAACCCACAGGTTCACAGAGATATACTCCTATGGTTGACAGCTCAGTCAATATCTCTCCTGCTCTGTCTCTTCCTGTCATAACATTGATTTCTGTAAGTTAGAGGAAGTAATCTCTGATGACATTGTGCAACAAAGTTTAGAAAAGTTTTTTTTTTTTTTCCTCCACTGCCCTCTTTCTCATATACAACTTACAAATGTATTTCATTTACAATTTACAAACTTTACATCTCCCAAGTCTGTTACGTTTTACATCCTGACCGCTATATCCAGACAAACTGCTATTTTTAATGTCTTTTCTTGCTCTTAAGCTTTTATGGGACAACATCCTTGATGATTGTCCTGCATCATCTCATCACTGCGAAGCAATGATGTCACTTTGACATATGCTAGTCACTCCGCAGCCAAGCTAGCTGACAAGTGCACTGTGCCCCTTTGCATGGAAGAGAAGGCAATATTGTCATGCCATGTACTGTCATTCCACCACCGTCAACACCACTATGCTTCATTCTGTGTCCACTGACCAGCAGCGCTTGCCAGGGAGTCGAAAAACTGCTGCATAGAGTAAAAACTGCTGCAAACGAGGTGATGTTCCTGTTATTAATTTGATTAGCAACCTTTTTCCTGTCTTCACGTTTCTGACAAAAAATAAATAAATACATTTGTCTCTGGAATTTCTTAGCACTCGTCTCACTCCAAAGTAGGTGTTTTTTTAGTGTGTTGTGGAGGGTTTTTTATTTTGAGGAAAGAGAACTTGAAAATTAATTTTACTTTTATGGTATTGAAGAAACCATGGATCTTTAACGTATTAGCAATTTGTTTTCTCTTATGTCCACAGTGGCGTTAGCAATGAATTTCTAACACAATATTGGTATTGTTGAAAAATAGGATGAGGTTTTGAAGGGAGCAAGGGATCATGTATATTTATGGTACAGGAGTAAAAATAGCTTCATGGGTGAGTGGTGCATCTGTAATGAGCAGGCTTCAGTGGGGTCTGTTCCCCCCTGGAGCCAGGTGTGGTAGTAGGTTTGACGCACAGAAAGATGCTTTCAACTGAGCAGACTACTCTAATCTGCTGAGATGGCATTTGTGAGGAAGAGCCTATGAAGGATTTAGTATTCTTACGTGTGCGTGGTCCTACCCCACACAGAGAATCACCAAGGGTTGGGAGTGTCTGGAGCCAGGCCAGGGGCAGCGATAGATTGATATCTAGGCATGAAGTCTATGTTATTTCAAGAGATATAGCTGTTTCCAATTTCAAAATGTAATTCCTCTAAGCACCATTTTTGATTAGATAGAATCTGTTGAGTTGTCACCTTTGCTATTTAACTTGAAATAGCAATTAGTAACTTGTCATTTTCTGTACTGCATTATTGTGGGAAAAGCTCAATAAATGAAAATAAATAAAAAACAATACTTCAAAACCAGCCACTTCCCTCCTGGTCTGCTATGGTTAATGGCAAAAGGACTTCACCTAGTTATATGTTTCTGGAGAGTAATAAGGGACAATGTCATCATTTATAGTAAGAGAGGATAAAATGTTATATTTTACTTGTTTCTCTTCATAAACTCCTTCTGTGAAATAAGCAAGCGAACCCAAAAGCCTGTACCCATCAATAAGCAGCCATTAAATATTGATCCTTTTTAATATAACTTTACTGGTTCTGCTTTGCAAAAGTCACAGCTATACAAACCTCCACAAGAGAAGCTAGTCTAAAGAAAGCTTCAAAGACAGAACTTCAGTGCCTTAATGTGTTACAGTTGTCAGATACCATTACTACTTCATTTAGCAAATGGATTTTTGAGTTTTAGGAAAAATCAAGGAACTTCTGTATTGCACGGTGCAAGATATATACTGTAGTTTGATGTTAGCCTTTGCATAAATAGCTGCATCCTAAACTCTGAACATCTCCAATAAGACCAATGAGCAAGATACCTGCTGAATGCCAGCAAGATTTTAGGCCAGGGATGTCAAGAGCCCAGGAACTGCTGTTATGTGTGCAACTCTAACTAGAACTGAACTGTAACTTTATTCTCAAGGTAGTACAAGCGTAAGTTTGAAAAAAATGTTCTTGAGATGATTAAATGTTTAGTATTATCTTCCATTTGCTTTCATCTTATATTTCCTCCATTTACAAATAAAAATAATTTCTTCCCTTTTTACCCAGCCAAAAAATTCTGGCTAAGCCCTGGAAGTCAAGGCTTCTCAGCTTTAGCAGTAAGTTGTGTTTGAAAGATTAACAAAGGTTCATAGGAGTTCACAACACAGTTCAAAGGTACCCCGATTACATAACAAATTTGCTGCCATAATAACCCTGTAAACCCTAGAAAAGGACAAATTGCCTGGGTCCCTTGGTAGGAAGGAGAACAAGGAGTGTGGGCAGATTTAATTTCACTTAACATTACCCATCGAAAGTTAGATGTCTCAATTAAACGAGCTGCTCAACCTCTCTCTCCAGTGAGTGGATGGAAAGAGACAGGTACTTCCAGATGGTAATTCATTCCATCTTAAGATACGTTGCCAAGATAAATGGGATGAATTGCCATACCCATCAGAAAGTTTTACAAATTCATTTGGCTCTAGAACAGGTAATAAACTTTGACTTAGTTATCAGAGTGTTTACTTTATTTTGCTTTTAGAAATGTTGTTGGAGTAAAGTTACAAGTGTCGTTTTCTTTGTGCTCTGCTTTTCTTTCCCAGTTTTGAAATCTGGCCTTGCCGCAAAGCTTTCCATGAACGCATGAGAATGTATTTATGGACTGCATATAATCTTGGCTTGTATTGTACACAGTCATTAATAGCCTCAACCCAAGAGAGGAACAGTAACATATCATTTCAGGAGTGCTCCCGTTGAGCTGTACTCAGATGTGCCAGTATTTTACTCAAAGTTTTTTTTTTTCTAGCCCCTTAATACAGTGCATACTCTGTTCAGTAGCATGAATCTTCAGAGGAAACTGTTTTCCTGTGAATTGTGTGTAAAAACAGCAGCTTTGCACATACAGTACATCATTTGCTCTTCTTTTATCTGTAGCACTTCATTGCTATGAAAAGCACTTTGTTTTGCTCTCTCTGGGATTTGGAGGTAGCCTGGTGTTTCATCAGCATTCCTCACGTTCAGGCTCGGATCCAGCTATGTGCCTGGAGCACGTGTTGCACCTGAAAGAAAGCATTTTCCCCGTCAGATTTTTTCCTTTCAGGCAGCCTATTGCCTGGGCAGCAGTATGCAGCACATTGAGCATCATTTTTTTTCTTCTTGTCTCTTTTGCTGTAACTCCCAGCTCAGATACCAAAGACCATATGTCCAAGTAGCAGTTTTATTGCCTTCAGAAGCATGGTCTGCTGAAGAAAAAAAAAAATAATTAAAAAAATGGCTTATGCTTCTGAAATTTTTAATGGATGTTTATTGGTCTTTTAAAAAAGACTGGTGGTCACCTGCAGCTCTGTGAGTTTATGCCCTCCTCGCAGGTGGGGGGAAAGAGGAGAAGAGGTGAGGACATTAGGAACAGCTTGGACAAGCAGGTGATTAGAATCAGCAGTCCTAATTAGTTTTTAATAGTTCTAGAGGGGAGGGGAGCTTGTACCTCCATATGGCTGAGAATGGTTTTGCAGGAGGGAGCTGGGATGGTAGAATGGCTAGATGGAAGATTTACGAAGCTTGGGGGCTTGCTGGAAGCTTTGGGGAAGTGGAGAGGTGCTTGGTTTAGGTCTTTTGAATGATGTTGTTAAGGAGCTGTACAAAGCTAGAGTGCAGGTTTATGAGTAGAAAGTCTTTAAATATTCTGTGTATGTCTTCCCTATTCCTTGAAAGGGAGAGTGATGAGAGAGGTGACTTCTCCTGAAGAAAGGGAAGAGCCTTAAGGTGCTAAGTGCAGCCCAGGTTTTCCCTGGTAAAATATCTTACAAAAAAACCTGTGCCTTGAGGTCTCCTTTGTGTTGTGAGCTGCATGCAGAAATTGCTCATCTGGTAGAGCTTGTGCTGTAGCTGCTGATTGTGGCTGCTGGGCATAAATGGCCAAACTCCTCCAGGTAAGTGGCTTCCTAATTTCTACAGATTCTAGGAAAATACAAGTGTGTATGTGCTTGGGGTTAGTTCATGTGTAGGCATTTTTAATTTTTCTAAGTCACCTGTTTCAAATGCTATAGCCCTGAGGCAACTTGGCGTTAAAGCTTTCCCTGTAACTCTATAAAACTTGGAGAGGCTCTCAGAGTGAAATACTTTCTAAATCTTTCAGAATCTACTCCAAAGGATTTGATGTGGAAACTCCTGTGTGTGAATGCTGTAAGCCTTTTCACTATAACTTTGTATGGTGATTGCTAAGTAACATGTGAGTGGTTCTGTGTGTTGATCTATGAATGGGGGGTAGGGGGAGCTTGGGCAGATGGGGGAATAAAAGATGAGATTAGACTTTTTATACTACTAGTTTTATGAGTATTCTTCAATGACCATCTCTTAATCAAATCAGAAGATGGAGGTTAATATCGAAGAACTTCTGAGGCTCTTACTCTCTCCTGTTTGCAAGGGTGTTCAAAAGAATGATCCAATACCCATGTCTTTAAGGTATTCATCTGCTGCCTAGTCTGGAAAGTGTTCATCTGTTCGGTAGTAATATTATGATACTGTTTCTCTGTGGGATATCTTTCTCGGGGATGCCCTTGAAATGGAAAAACTGCAGCTATCTTGTTACTCAACTTGTCATTCATATAGGTTCACCAGGCTTTCTTCTGTAGCAGAAGAAGATAGCTTTCATTAGTTCTCATAAACTAATCAACGTTGTGTGCATTTTGTTTCTTCTGAAGTTTTTATCAAAAGAGTTATTCTGTTGCACAGCATAACTGTTCATTAAAAATGCTTATCCTTTTAAGGGTGTCTAGTAGAAGTTAGATATGTTATACAGTAATGCTAATAATTAAATTTGTAAAATAATTGTTTTTTGATAGACTAATACAAAAGCATGATTACAGCAGTGGCTCTTTCTCACTAATATGAATGACATGCAAGCTCTAGAATATGTAATGATCTATAAGCCCTAGTGGTTATAAATGGTGTTGAAATGTACTATATCCTTGGGTGTTAAAAGCTGTAAGCTATTTATTTTCATACTTACAAAGAGTATACTACACTGTACTATAAATCTTACATGGACTGTCTTACTTGCCTTTTTTTTTTTTTTTTTTTTTTTTTAAATATAGCTTATCCAAATCGTTCAAATATGAATCTGGCTCCCATTATAGCATCCATCCTGTTACTGGTATTCTGATAGATCTCATATTGCTTTGATTCTTTTGTACTGTAAAAAGCCTTTTGATTATAAGGGGTGTAAGTGACATACAAAATATGAATATGAAAGGCCATGCTATGGACTCCTTTTGATTTGATAAAAACAAATGCAGAGGAAAGTACAGGGATTAATCATTAAGACAGACTTTTTCTCTTCCAGGAGAAGGCTGATAAATAACTGGTATATTTGAGTGCTATATATTAAAATTTGACTTTGGAGTGAGGCTGGAGGGATCCTGAAAGAAAAACCTAACTTAATTTTCTGTGAGTTCAAAAGAGCTTCTGTAACAGTAGCATGAAGTCTGGAATTAAACCGCTATTGATTTAGGGGGAAAAAAAATAAAAATATAACTTTGTAGAACAAGCAGACAAATTCTTTTAATGATGAGTTTGTGAGATGGATGTAAACTTAGAGCATATTTGCCTAAAGCTGAGTAGCCCCATCTTAGGTTAGGGCTCAGTATTTAAGTTTGCAGTGTAGGTGATATGCAGAAGTTGAGGAGAAAGCTGAGGTTGTAAGGTCAAAGGCTAAAGAGTTCATTAGTAGCAGATCCAGCAGACTTCTTTCACCTCTGGTTGTAATGGTACCATATCATATTTACGGCTTCTTGAGACTTTTTGTTTGTTTTTTATTATGGGAGTTTATGTGGTTGAAATGGGAGGTGACTATGTGCATGGTGGAGATGGTGAATATTTGAGATGTCAATCTTCTATTTTGCAGAGAACTACAGCCAACAAGACTTCAGGTGCTCCTTCCTACAGCAGATGGTCCAGCTCACAGCCCCATCAGGTAATTTGCCCTTGTCAAAAAGGATATGAAGCTCAGGATGACACAAGCTTCCTTTTAAAACGAATCTCTGAGGGGACTGGGGAGAGGTATCTACCTACATTAACCCATGTAGGTCCTGCTCATCTCTGAGATTGTTGCAGGATGTCCTGTGACGGACTGTTAGATGCAGTTCATGCTTATGGAAGAGGCGTTGTATGGCTATGACTCCTGTAATGCAATCGTGTGGAAAATGGTTTGTGTGAATCATGATGCTTGGTCTGGGGTGGGGAAATGGAACGGACACACAACAGGGCTGAAATATTTTGTGTCTTAAAAGAATGTCTAGCCTGCTAATATTAAATGCATTTGCATGGCTCAATGTCTAGACAACAAGGGAAGAACAATGACTTGGGAATCTAATTACGGACTAGGACCTGTCTCATATCTCCAGGGAACTCCTCCAGAAAAGATTTGATAATGGAGGCTGGTTTGAGAGGGGGGATTGGCCTAAGAGGATGAATGTGAAGATCAGATGACCAAATTTTTGAAGTGCCTTTCATGGAATATGGTTTGTGTGAAACACGCTAATTGGGTGGGGAACACAGAAGAATTCTGTGTGCAATAAGATGGTCTTGTCTGCTCATATTAAATGCATTTGGTTGGCTCAAGACCTAAACAAAAAGGGAAACAGAACAATGACCTGGGAATCTGATGATGTATTAGGAGATTCTTCATATCTCCAGGGAATTCCTCCAGAAAACACTGTGTTATGGTTAGTGGCCAAGAAAAAATATGTTGTGTCAACAATGCAAAAGGACATGTGATAGTCTGAAGTGACAATTAGGAGGCTAATTTAAGTGTGTCTTTTTCTTGGAATCTGTTTCTGTGAAGCATGTTATATTGATGGGATGACTTCTCTGTGTGTTAAAAGTATGGCTTGCCTGGTAATATTAAATGCATTTGAGTGGCTGAAGACTTTGACAAAAAGGAAACCAGATAAAAGACCTGGAAAGCAGATAATAGATTAGGACCTGTCTCATCTCCAGGGAATTCCTTCCGTTAAGGTTTGATAATGGTTGGGTTCCAGGTTGGAGGCTGGAAGGCAGATGTGATAGGTCACCAGAGCAAAAGGAAATGTGCATGTGTCTGAAAAGGAAGATTAGCTGTGACAATGGTTAGCTGCTGAGAGGGGAGGCTGGCCCAGCTGCAGGTAATGTTGGTCAACCCTCTGAATATGTTGTCAGTGATGTAACCATCCCTGATACCATTGTACCATGGAAACTATTGTAGATGGATCCTCCAGTCTTTTGACTGTCATTTAAGCTGGAAATGAGTTTAACAAAGTCTTTAGCAGTGCATGAAACTGTGTTTTTTTCAGTGTGCCCTCCCTCCACCTAATGTTTTTCCACTACTTAAAACAACTAAGTTATAAAGTAGTTACAATGTATAAAATATTTGGGTAGACTTGTTATAAACAGGAAACAGAGGGGAAAAAACTGTTTAGTAATGGTCAGGAAGCAATATTATTATAAATTATTTCTCATTAAAAATTGAATATTAATTGATGTTTCTCTTCTATCAAAACCAACCCTTTTTGACTATGGACAAGCACATGACTGACTTTAGTTGAAATACGCCATCTTTCATTTAAAACATTTCCCTCTTTCAAAACTTACTTGATCAGAGATGATCATATAAACATTGCTTTCCCCCGAGTCTTTACGTTTGCTTTTTTCTAATGTCTTTCTACTTCTGCTGCTGCTTTAAAACACTAAGCATACTGGATTTTGTTCTTACGCACATGTATATGCTAAGAGGGGAAACTTCCAATAATTTGAGTCTTGGTCTTGAACACTGAAGTGAGAGAAATGATGAATTTCATTTGTGTTCAAATTGGGATGGGAAAGAAAGCGGCTAAATGCTTAATGCAGTGAGTTACCTGTTTGACCATCTTTGCAATCTTAATATTTGTTTTCTCTGGGTTCTATGAATCTTGGTCTACTCTGTATATGCGTTCTATCTGCTTGCTGAGGCTTCTATGTACTTTCCCCTTTTTAAGCATTGAATTTTTACGTTTGGTTGGGGGAGATTGTTAATTCCTTCCACTGCTTGTTTCTTATTCCATACTACGGGATCACAAAGTGAGTAGGGAAAAATGCATGGAGTTCCACTAGTATGCACGAGGCAGAAATGGCAATGACTGTTCCCCTCTTTCTGGATGTTTGCAGTCGCTCATTAAGGTTAATGGGAGACACATTCCTAAGTCAGGAGGAGATCATCCTAACAAATCATAAGAAATGCACTTTACACTCTACACACTTGATTTCCTTTTTGAGGAGGGAGGGGAAAGATAAGTACATAATAAAGATTGCTTGTAGCATTACAACCCTGTCAAATCCCTAGTAGAGTTGAGGGATTAACTACCAGGAATGTTCTTTGAAAGTATGTCTAGACCATCCAGCATCTGCAGGAAAAAAATGGTTTTACTGTATTAAAGCATGCCTGTGGTAATTTTCCTCCACCTGTGTTGTACCCCACATGTTTTAATCTTGCCTTCCTTTGTCATTTGCACTCTAATCTTTTCTTTTTCATCCTTGTTTATTGTAAGCTTTTGTCTTCTGTGTTTTGGGTTTAATAAGCTTATAAACTTGCCTCACGGATATTACAAATACTAGTACCAACTGTGAGGATGTGTAGCCATGCAGTGGTTCAGTTCGGGAGACCTGAATACTGCTGTGCACTCTCACGAGCTGAAAGTGGCAAAATATTTGTATTGGATCAGAGATTTGTATTCAGCCTTGCAACTTGCCAGCATCTATATATAGTTTATTTTAACATTTTTTGAAGATGGCTTTCCAAGAAAGAAAAAGATCAAAGTTCAGATTCATATTGTCTGCATTTTCTTCAGCCTCATGCAGTGAGCCCAGTGAAGGCTTTTCCACATAGATCTTACAAGAATCTGCACAGAAACCTAATAGAGCTACATGGCTGAGACCTTTGATACATCTAAGAAATGTTAAAAGTTAAACTGATTTCCTCTTTTCCCTCCCCCAAGTTTTCTTCTTTCATTTTCTCTGTCTGTGTGAAGTTTGAAGGTCCATTGGGTGAGAGATCTGAAGGGGTTCTACAGGTGGGGTCAACAAGTCACTGAAAATAACACATTTTTCACTGACTTATTTTGCTTTGTACTACCCAGACATGCTTATATTTTGTATTGGATAAGCTGAAGCATGTTTATCTACCTCAAATACGCTATCTGGGGAAGGTTTTTAATAAGTTCCTATTAACTCATCGCTCTCATGGGCATGTGGAATTTGTGTGCTCAGGTTTTTTGATGTGAAGCTGTTCAGAGATTTTTTTCCCCTGCCCCTCGAGCCTGGGAAAGTGTCTTGCTGCAGGGGAGGTATCTTTAAAACTTGATTAAGAGGTTCCTTTTGACTGCCCTGGGAAAGACACATTACCTGCTTCAAGCCAGTATTTTTTTCTTTTCAAGCTCTCTACTTTTTCAGTGTCAAAATAAGAAGCCAGTAGTCTAAAAGGTTGACTTTTTTTTTGAAGCCAAGGAATTAATCTATTTAATTAGAGGATGGGGGGGTGGGTAATCAAGCCAAACCAGATCTCAGCTTCTGAAATGGCATCTAAGGAGCTGTGTTGGACCTTACTGGCTCCAGATGCATTAAACTTGCTTGAAGGATAGAATCAAGGAGTAGATACAAATGGATACCAATAAGCTAAAATTACCTGTGCTGCCTTTCCTGGCTAGTGGCTTCTCTTGATGTGTGAAGTCTGCAGCAATTTTGTGAGGAACTCTGAAGTGAATTTAGTCCTTCGGTGGTACTCTGAAGACTGTATGTGCTCACTGCTGATGAAAATGAAGGAGAAAGTAGAGCACTCTTTCAGGCATGGTGATATGGCTGATTTCTAATGTGATGCTGCTTTTGTGGAGTGGGATGGCAGCCAAGGCAGGGTGCCTTATAGTGACGATGCATCTGTGTGGGATGGTCTGTCTCCTGCTAGGAGTTGTAGGTGCACAAGTAGGGTGGGATGTAAGGCACTCGGAATTGCAGCTCTGCTGTCTCTAGAAGCAGTTTTAACATCAAAATACTCTACTGGTAATGACGTGAAAGCCGAGTGCTAGAACCTATTGGGGTGGTATAGCTGATGCAGGTAATATGTAACAACAACAAAAAAAATTAGAAAACAAGAAATGCAGTATTTCAGATGGCAGTTTAAGGTTGAGCCATTTGAAGAATCAATAGATGAAGTGTCTTAAAAGAAAGAGGAAAGGCACAACAATCCTTGTAACATGTGTATGTTTCTGATGTCGATGAGCAGCAAAAAGTGAATAGTTCCTACCCAGATTTCACAAAGAAATCCACTTAATATGCAAGCAGAAGACGGTGATACTTTCTGAATTAGTCTCTTCTTGCTTGTAGGCATAGGAGGGAGTTTGTCAAGACAGATTGTTCACTTGGCCCTTGCTGTTGGCTGGCACCTTCGGGACAATCTTGCAGTTCTCTTGCAAAAGGACTGCTAGGATTTGGAGATGCTTCTGTTATCTTACTTTATAAAAGTATATGGACTTTTTTTTTAGTGCTATGTGCTAAATGAGCCTGCAGAACAATTGGTGTGTCTTAAATGCCATTAAAAATAATATAGAGCATTTCAGCATCTTTCCCCCACCCTATTCCTATTAGCAAGGCATTAGTTGGAGCTAATGGAGCAAAAATACAGAAAATGAAATGGTGTCCAATGGGCCAAGGGACAGGAGGATTCTCAGCTTCCATATTGCTCTTCTGTCTGGCTTCTCTGCTGCTTTGCTACAGAATTATTACTCTGGCTTTCTGGTGCTGGCAACACAAGCTTCTTGCTTCTTACAGATGGAGCCTTGTCCCTTGCTGAATTCAGCATAAGTACCTTAATTAAGGTCTGAATGTGTTTTTTTTTTCTTTAATATCCTGATCTTTAAACATAGAGATAAGTACTATAGTTTTGTGCCCAGAGGTTAGCAGCTTTCTTGG